ACATTTCATCACCTGGTTGGTGGTAATAGCAGCGGGTTGCCGAATAATTGTGGAGTACTGGGCGTACTTTTGATAACTTGGTTGGTGCTATTTTAGGCTTATGGGCCTTTGCTCTCCACACAACATTCCAGCCCATTTATTTTGGGCTTAGCTGTTTTTTTTTTTTTTTTTTTTACCCTCTGATGGGGTTTATACAGATGTCTCCGAAAGATAAGAAAAATAATTTACACCATTTAGAAACAAGAAAAGTAAACCACATCATTCTGGTGGGATGTTTATTCCTTGTTTTTGCCTTCTGCTTTTACGTTCTGCTTTCCGTCGCACTCTCTCTGTCTCTTCACCTGGTAGACAAAAGGAATTGTAATAATAGGAATCTTATAATTTTTCCCCTTTTCTTCTTTTCTCTTTTCCTTTTCTGCTTTACTTTTGCTTTTGCTTTGTAGAGTGATGGGCCTTTCTTTTTCTTTGCTTGGTGGTTGAGCTGGCAGGGATGGCTTCCACTTGGTGACGCTGTTCCTTTCCACTTTGGAAAGCAGCCAGCTTATGCACTCCTCATTTGTAAAAGCAAGACGACACCGTAGGGAAATGATATAGCTGCTTATGAAATCGTTTCCACGCACCATTATCAGGAAAAGCAATGGATATATTGTCGAAATCAGGAAGCTGCTGGAGCCTATTTTTAAGCAAAGGGATCTCGTTTTCAAAGCACGGTAAGATATTATCACCAACGTAAAACTGCTCCTGCAAGGCATGGATATCATAGATAACTAAACTAGTAGGCCCTCCCATCGAAATTGGAATATTTGACAAGACCCTGGCAAACATGAAAGCGGTGGCAACATCTCTATCATCCTCCATACGCGACGGGGAGCTAAACGAGGCAAGAAACGCCACATGTTGCCCTCGAATTCCACGAGCATTGGGTCTGAAAATGTTGGGGAATCCATCATCAAATTTCTTCTAAGTAATGCTACAGAGCTCGATGGAGTTGGACTGGGCCGCGACATTCTCGGTGAGGGCTTTTGGTCTCAGCGCCGTAGAAGAAGCAAACCTTATTCGCCTTTTTCACCGTCGAATTAGAAGCCATTGACCATTGGGGTTCTTGGAGATTCCCTCAGGGGAACGAAAACCCAGATCCAAAAATGCTTATTGAAGGCTGAATCTTCCTCCTCTGGCTCGGAGAACGGCAGTGGCATCGTGAAGAATAGGGGTGATGGTCCAGCCCCAGTGGATCCGACCCGCCTGGACCACAGCAGCCAAGTCCTTGTGCAAGCTCTCTAACCCCCACTTAGACTGCGCCAACACCATCAACGCCTCCACCCTATTCTTTCCTCAGTGTGCGAGAACCAGTAGCAGAGCAAAGAGGAAAGGTGATTACTGCCCCCGGTCCAAGTGAGAATTTTCTCGCTCGATCTGCGAAATAGGTGATTTTGCTTATCTGAATCTAATTGGGATCTGGGTTACGAATTCGAAGAAGAAGATTCCCCCAATTGAAACACGATTTCAAGGCTCACGGGTTTCTGCCGATGCACCACAGATGGCGTCGCTTTGTTCTTCATGTAATTCATGCGCATAAACCTATCTGGGTACGAATTGAAACCCTCCTGCTCACCGTCCTCCACGTAATCAATATGACCGCCGAGGGTGTTGCAGTTCGGGACGAGGAGGACAGAGCAAGCGATGGCATCTTCGGCGAGCTTGGCTTGCTCGAGGGTGTTAACCTCGACAATGGCGCCGCCGTGAGCGCAACGACGTCGTCTGCGAAGGCCGATGAGGCAAGGAGCAGGGTTTGGCCTCCGAAAGCGAACAGAGTCTTCGAGCTCGCCATCATTTCAAACTTTCTGAACATAATCTTCTCTCCCCCTCCTCTGTCATGAAAATAGTGATTATAACTAACAAATGATGGTAGAGAGAGAGAGGAAGTGTGAGAGAGGGAGCTGGGTTTCCTTGGTGTCGAGAGATTACAAGGACAGAGATGGAGGGGAGAGCACAGGTGTCGGATGTTGCTTTTGATTCGGTAATTGCAATTTGGATGTTGCCTTTGTCACTGTTGTTTTCTTTTTCTTCAAAATAGAGATATGGGCTTTTCTGGGTATCTCAGGATTTTTAGAGAGAGAGAGTGGTGTTCTTGGTTTTTTGTGATTTTGCAGATTCATAGTGGAGGTAAAAAAAATGAAAGAGAACCGACACAACTTTTCGTATCGATTCCCACAGACGTCAAATGTTGATGCACAAAACCGGAGGTCTTGGTACAATGTAAATCCGACCGTGAATCTGCAAATAATGTAAATAACACAAGATGTATCGTAGTTCACCCTAAACTTTGGGCTACGTCCACACTGCTTATGTATTTATGAGAGGATTGTGAGGGAGAGAAACCTCTGTAATGTGAGAGGAGATGTGAGAGGGTGAGGGGGGCTTTAGGCCTAAGAGTTGGCCTCCCTAATTGTGAGGGTGAGGGGTCCTTTTATAGAAAAATGACTCCTCACTTATTACATATTTGCCCCTTCCTTTATCACATAATTACATTTAAGTCCCTCGAGTATTTGTACGAGATCTAAATACGAGGCCCTAAATATGGTATAAACAAAGTTCAATATCAAATTCGGCTTTCAATGTGCCGAATGTAATAACTTGTAACACCTCACTTCACCGAGAAGGCTAATGAGATAACCTCGACTAATAAGGATTCGGAAATCCTTTTCGACTGAAACTTGGATAGATAACCAGTCACCCTCGACGCAATGCTATTTATGCCGACTGAAGATGCTGTGAGACCGGCTGGTTCTACGGTGACAGTGCTATTTATGCCGACTGAAGATATCACTGATTGCCTTCACAGTGATGTTTATCCAAACTGAAGGTGTGTCGGTGAAAAAAAGAAAAGGAAAAAGTCTCAAGGTTGTTGAGAGAATTTGCGCATGGCAGTTGTGTGTTGAATTGAAGGTCCTTGAATGTGCACTGAGCCCTGTATTTATAGGGTTGGATATCTGCTTGGCATGTGTTGTAAAGCTGCTGCCAACATCAAAGCTTCCTCCTTCATAACAATCTCTTGCAAAACAAAAGATTGTTATGCTTTATCACTTACCAGCACAAATATCAATTATAAGCACGACACTACCTCGTGCTAATTAATAATAATTAATAACATATATCTTTTGTGCTGATAAGAACTCTGACTTGAAATATGCCAAAGATATGCATGCATAGCTGGCCAAGGGAGCACACGTGGAAGTCATCAACGGTTGAAATAAAAACCCCAAAATTCCAAGAGTGCAGGCCATTTAATGATCATGACTCATCAATTGCCTTCCATGTGGAGACCATCAAAATGTTTCCTTTGAATGCCGTGATTATCCATGCAAACCATTTGAACTATATCTCTGTTGGAAATATGATTTGTTTCGTCATTTATCTTTAAACAACCCACTGGATATAGCCAATATTAGGCTCAGATAATCCAATATATATTAAGAGATAATATTATGATAAAAATCACAATATTATACCCTACTAAAAATTGAAAATTATCTCAATCACTTTATCATCCCACGGTTTAGAACTTTACTCATCTAATGGTCTCGACTGCACGGGCCGATAGTGTAAATTTAGGTCCAAATAGGTTCATACTAAATTTAGGTGGTTTCACTTCATGAAGGCTAACTGTTTATTTTAGGCATGGAAAATAATTTCTTGGAGAATGTACATTGTTGATGATAATTTTTCGAACAATACTGCCCCAAAAATTCTCCTCATGTTACCCTCAATGTAGACATCGTATAACCATCATCCGAACTTCTCAACCATTTAAAAGGCTCATTCCAACCAGTGTCATTTGGTTGTAGAACAGCTTTGCAACTTCTTTTTTATCTCTTATATTCTGATTAGCATTTTACTCTCTCTCTCTCTCTCCCTCCCCCCCCCCTTTTTTTCTATGCATATGAATTGTTTCTTAAATATTTTTTTATTAATCACTACAGAGCACTTCTTTCTGACATTAGATAATAAAACTACACAAGTTCTACCGTGAACATTACCATCCTAGCAATTCATAATTTTGGCTATGTAATACATTGTACAAACAAGTATCTTTTGTTCCTTATTGAATATACAGATGTAAATAGACTTTATTCTATCCGGTACGTTGAACACAGTTTTAAGATCCCGTGGCATCATGCAGGGGGCTCAGTCGCTTGTAATCATACTAAATGCTTTCCATATCAAAGTCATGCCTTCGGCTATAAAGCCCACTCTCACTACCACATTTCTCACACCAGTCAAAAGCCATCACACTATCAGAGCAATGCCAAAAATATAGCGCTCTCTCTCTCTCTCTCTGTAGTCATGGTCAAAACAGTCTCCTTCTCCTCCACCCCAAATGGCGGACGTCAGCATTAGCATGCTCCCTTGCGACGGCAATGGCCTTTGCACTGTCATTATTTAGTATGTAACTTGACAAATCATCGATTCGATGTTTAAATTTGCCCGTCATGCAATGAAAAGCTATACCATCTTTCGTTTCATCTTGGTCTTCAATGGCCTCTAAAACTAGCCTTTTTTTCTCCATATAAACCAAAACCTAAGGCAAATTTAATTATGATAGTTTTCGATTATGATAGGAGTTACTTATTCATAATTTGTCTCTATAATTCAACATATATCGCAACGCTAAATGTAAAGAATTGGATTACGATAGGACTTACTTTTACGTCCAGTGATCCAAATTTAAGCACCAAACAAAGAATTTGGCTTTAAAGTCCAAATCATACTTTTGTTATGCTCTTGTGCTTCATTTTCTAATTCCTTTATCCTAACATTTTGTGATTCATTTCTTATTCGTCTCGCCTAAATCACATGAAATTGAAGGTCCCTCACCAGAACATACAAGCACAATTCAGTGCTGTTATTTTGGCAAAATAAGATCCTCTCACGACGCCCAAACCCGGCAGATCCCGGCAGCTACAGGTTTCTTTCTTCTTTGTCTTGAAGAGTAGGGAACAAAAAACAAGATGAAAACTCTTCGTCAAATTAAAAACACCTGGTAACAACTCACTGTACATGAAGCATTCTCTGCAAAACAACACTGCAAACAGAAGATTTACATATAAACATTTCACTTCTAAACGACATGATATGCCCCTAAACGCAACGACTAATTTTCAATCTCTTCTTGTTCTCAAGGCTGCCTCACATCCAAGGGGCTGCACACTTGCTACAACTTGTAATTTGCAGCTCTGCCTGCCAACGAAAAATGAGCTAAGGCTCTTTCGCTACACTACTAGGGTATATCAACACCGAATCCACGCAGACACCGCCTTTAGTGTGAGTGCAATCGATCTGAGTCATCGAGTACTTGATCTTGATCAAATCATGAGGATTGTCAACAACAAAATCTCCCACATGGTAATTGATCCAGTTTCCAGGATTGTCCAAGTAACATTGGGATACAGCACGGTGACCATTAGAAGTTGATAGCTCAAACCTCACTGGTTTTATGTCCCAGCCATGAACATGCTCGGAGTTGCAGACGCGGCGACCTAGCCTCTTCAAAGATCTGCCAAGGTGGAGCCTAAAGAAGAGGCCATATTTCCCTAACGGAAATTGAAACTCAAACTCCCCATTGATTTCAAACCACCAGATTTGTTGGAGATAGGCAACTGTCTGGAATCTACACAAATGGAAAAGAGAACACAACATATCAGATTCTTCCATCCTTTCGGAATTTATCGCACAACAAAATTGAGGATTACTGAAACATTACATATCAACTAGACAGCTTGCAAATTTCGGGCAAAGATGACAATTTTGAAGCTCTTGCTCGTTCCTGGCTCATCAAATTCGAACAAATAAGCAATTTTAAAAAACTCACCTGGATTCATCATTTGCTATGAAATTCCAATACCTCCTATCATCTATCCCAGTAATCGATAACGCCTTCGAAGAAATCGACAAACAAATACCACCCTTGTGCTTATCAAGCCAAATCACCTTCACAAAAAAAGAAAAAACCCAAATCAAATTCAATTAAATCCATGTAAATTGCAAAATGCAGCTCTTTAGAGAGAAACAAGACAAAAAGACTAACCTTTGTGCCATCATCAAAGGAATTAGACCTGCAAAGCCTGGCATAGGTATCCCTCTTCCCTGAAATCTTCCTCTTACTACTTTCATCGAACACCCTGTCTACAATAAACCGATAATTCGGCGGCAACTTGGATTCCCAGATGAAATCGGCCAAGGAAGCACCCCGAAACGCCCTGTTCAACCGGGCCAACTTACAAATCTCCGGCGGGTCCATCTGCATCAAAATCAATGCCGCACAGCTCTCCGGTATATCCCCAAGCCTTGGCTGCACTAAACCCTCCCCATCCGAAACGCCACCCGATAAACTAGCACCCATCCCGAAACACAAAATACCCGAAATCCCAAAACCCGAATCCGAAATACGACTTTCTAAACCGAGATACTCAAAACCCAGTATTTGTTTTCGGGCTAATCCTTGAGTTTGAATCTGAATTTGTAAATCTTTTGGGAGAGGTTTAGAGAGAGAAATGTGAAGCAAACGGAATCCAACGTTGAATTCGGATCTAAAGACATGGGCCTTTCAAAAAACCCAGAAAATTAAAATCTGAAAAGCAAAAACGGTTCGATTTCTTTTTCAATTCCCAAAATCTAATCTACTCTAATCTAAAAATCCCAGAAACGAAAAAAAAAATCTGAAGCTGAAAGCTCATATCTTTGGTGGGCGTTTATGGAGGGATGCACATAAATATCAGTTCCCCCGAAAAATCTGTCCTTGGAGTGACAACTACGGTCGGACACGCATTCCGCCGCCGTTTTTGTCTTTGTAGGTGAGAGCTTTCTCGGGATTGGCGATTTCGATTTCGATTTCAGAGGTCGACGAAGAAAGAAGCACGGAGCTTATTTTAAAGGAGGATTCACTCCACTTTTAATCTTTCTTTTTTTTATTTGAACGATTAAATTATGGTAATTTTTTTATTTTTTATTTTTATTTAAACGGTTACGGTTTAATTACGTTAATATTTTTATTTATTTTTTATTTATTTGAATGATTACCGTTAAACTAAGTTAATCTTTTTAATTTTTTTTTTATTTGAAAGGTTACGGTTAAATTATGTTAATATTTTTATTTTATTTTTTATTTGAACGGTTACAGTTAAACTATGTTAGCATTTTTTTATAAAAATAATAAGATAAAAAATAATGTGTAAGAAGAGAGAAGGAAAAATGAGAGAGAACCTTACTCATATTTTAACAGCGAAACCTCGTACGGCAGTTGGGGTCGCGTTGGAACACGCACGCGCTTCTGTTAGGAAGTTGACCGCGCTTAGTTGGATATTTTGACACGCTGTCTTGGACGCGTGGCGAAATTTGGTTAGGGGAAAAGGGATCAAATCAAAAATCCGGTTTTTTGGCCAAAATAAAATCAGAAAATTTTGGTTAATTAAGAACTGCATATTTGCGTTCTTGGATTCTCTTCAAAACTTTTGGAGGATTTAATTATTTTTGCTGCAATTTTTTGGGAAGGTTGTTAAAGAAGTTTTTCTGTTGGTCCGACGGTTTGTTTAAATAATTTATAGGATAAAAATAAAAGGAAAACTAATGAAAATTGATTGAAAATTTTGAATTTTAACGATAAAGGTAAAGTAAATAGTATCATGATTGACTTTTTAGTGTAAAAATATGGTTTTTTGTTAAAATAAACAATACCCAGAGCTTTTCGTTAAAGTTCCCATGAATGAATGGATAGTAAACTCTGATCAATTCAGAAATTATTTTAATTTCATTAGTAATTAGGATTCAGAATACCACGTATTGATCAATCAAAGATAGAATACTTCCCCAAGAATGAATTGGAAATATCCCTTCTTTCGAATCAGGTGCATGCAATTGCTAGATATGCCATATAATATACCTATGTAATTGCTAGATTGGCTATATAGATGGGTGGTGTGATTCCATGGCCTGGACAAACCCTAATTTTGTTTGAAATGTGTTTTTATATCTCAAATATGTGAGAGTTAAAATACGACTGATTTATCAAAATGAACTTGATATCGTGTCTTATATTTGATGAACTTATAAATGTTGAGATTGAATTTTTGAAACTGGACAACAGTTCAACATATTACAAAAATGTTCTAGTCACCAAAACCAAAAGTTTTTTTTCTTCATTCTTTTACGAAAACCTGTGTTCTTTAGATCTTTTTTATAAAACAAATAATATTATCTACAAGAGAGGGGTTAGACTTGACCACACAATAAACTAGCAGTAATGTGGTTCAAATTCGCATTTGGTGAAAATCAAATCTAAAACCTATCACTTACAAATGAGGAAAAAACAATGAGTTGGATTAGCTAGGTCAAAAGGTTACAAAAACTACTTTTGTTTTTGTTTTTTTTTTTTTGGCCGAACTACAAAAACTAATTTAATAGCATCAAAGCAGCAAAAGTCTTTAATTGTGCATGCACCTGATTCGAAAAAAGGGAACTTCCAACGCATTGATCAAATCTTTATCGAGTGAGCAGTTCCGTTACAATGTCGAGGAGCATACTTCAAAATATCAAAGCATATGCTTTGTCTCAACCATTCTTTCACCCCTTAGCATTAAGATCAAATTACTTGAATCGGATTTCACGATCACGTTTTGAAAACCTTCTTCTATACAAACAACTATGGCCTCGCGCACTACCTCTGCCTCCATGGCTAAAATTAAACTCGCCGACAAGCCACGCCTACACCATCCCCTCATGATTCTGGGCCACACAGCCTACTCCACCCTTGCAAGTTGCAGCAAACCAAGCACATCACAGTTCACTTTCAACTGTCCAAAACATTGCTCGGTTTTTTAAGAGCATTCTCCTTTGTATTTAAATATGGGGTGTGATATCCACACACCTTTTTTTACTTCTCTCATACCTTTTTGGTTTTTAGCCGTCGGATCGAATGAATTAAAGAAGATCAACGAACATAAATTATCAAGGGGTGTGTGAGAAGTAAAAAGAGGTGTGTGGATATCACACCCCTTTAAATATCGGAGTTCAAATCTCACTTCTCTAACATGACTTGAATATAAAAAAAATAAAATGTTTCCTATAATTCTTGTAATTCACTCAAAATGAAAATTCATTTAATGGACCGACTTTAAACTATATGAAATAGTTTGTTGGATCTAATCTTATCAATTCAACTAACCCTAAATCCTTAATTATTGTTTTTTTTAACTGTGTCCACTATTCTATTCACTAGACCCTCACACTCCACTCACTTTTTCTCTTAATAATTCTCTGTCCACTTCTAAATGCTTGTCATGATACTTTAAATGTATTAATAATGCGCTAAAACAACCAAAATTGTGTACCGCCTTAATGAACTCTCCTCCAAATATCACCAAAACGAAAGACAAGAACATTGCTGCCACACATGAGATGACAGGTGTAACCAAAATATGTGTCTCTGAGGAATTGTTCTGAATTATCCACTCACATGTTCCTCTTTTTCTTATTCTTGAAATGCTAATTAATTTGACAACAGCGGTGTTAAGAGTATAAATACCACATCGAAAAAAATGATGGATTTTCTTGTAAGTAAATTGACTATTTTTCATGCTGTGAATTGATTTAATAGTGGAACTTTAACTTTCTTCATGGTTTTGAACAAGTTGCCCCTCGCGTATAGCCTAACGACCACGCTCTACGCCACCCAATTTGTGTTGTTCACGTACTTGGTTTGAAATTCGTCACACGTGAGAGAGCATATTGTAAGTATAAATATCACATCTGTAATGAGAAACTTTAATTGTGCTTATAAGTAATGAGGATACTCCTCATATTTGGTTTTATAGTGGAATCTCAACTTCTTCAAGTAGCCAGCATAATATAACGTCAGGACAAAAATTCTTAGATGCTCCAAAATATTGAGCATTTTAAATATTTTAATCATTAAATCTTAATTTTTATATTACCATTTTTAAATCTAATGGTTACAATACGCAAAGTTGAGATTTTGATGTAATCCTCCAGCTCTGATGAACCGTATTTTAAGTTGTCATTCTCTAATTGTTTGTATTTGAACTTAATTATTCCTTTGGTTGGTTTTGATTGAAGCATTCAAAACCTTTAAACAGTTCTTAATCCAAAAATAAATCTAGTTTTCAACCTGTAACTGTCATGTTCGACATCAATTCAACCAAATATGAGCTAATCTTTATTAATTAATGAAATCTTTTTTGTCAATAAAAAAAGGATGAAAAGACAACTTAGTCTTCTATCACACAAAAAAATGATGAGCACTAATGTAATTTCATAGATCCAATTTTTACTGTTTTTTATTAAAGACTCATCTACAGAATATTAAAATATCTCTAATATTTAAAATTAAAAAAAAAAAAAACCAAAAACAAAAACCTCCCACTTCCCCCACGATCTCTCTCTCTCCCTCTCTCCTTCTCATTTTCTCAAAAAAAATGTATTTATACACACACAGTATGTAGGCAAATGTTAGTAACATATTAATTAAAAGGATAACTAAACTTTTGCCTGTCAACTATGCCAATTAACTTCCTAAGCAACAAGTGTTATCCTTTGTATGATCTACCACTACTTTTCCAGATTAAACAAATAAAAAGCAACACATAAGGGTTCTTTAAAATGGAACCGGATTACACGGGCCGTTGAAATTTGATCAAACGGTTTCGATTATTATAATTTTTAGAAATTTTTTTTATTTGTAGTCGTTGGATCAAATTTCAACGATTCAGATCCTAAACTTAGGCTCAGGAGGGGATCCGGTTCCCTTTAAAATAAGGGATTAGGGCTCCAAGTTGTTGCCTTTTGCATAATCTGATACTAACTAATGACAGATATAAAAAAGGATAGATATGTGGAGCTGAGCCATCGAAACCCTTATGGATCAGGTGTCACCTCATTCGCCACAGAGAGTGAGAAGAATAAGATTGAGATTGATCTTATCCATCATCAACGATGATTTTCTTCTTTTGAAATAAAAAAGATATAATATATATGCGACGTATGGGTGACACTATCTTTTTTACAACTTTTGACATATGATTTTTGTGAAATAACTTCGAATTATATTCCAACTATTTGAGGTGGCTATTTTGTTAAAAATTAGACAAATTCAAAACAACTAAAACATTTTGAAACAAAAAATAATCCCAAAAATCCAAAAGGCGACAATTAGATTTTTTTACTCAAGAAAGATAAAATTGCCCTTATTAAAATTGCCCTTATTAAATGGGCAGACTTCTCAGTAGCCTTGAAAGTTCAAACAACTGACTACGAGACTCGTGGCAAGGAAAAGTCAAATGCATATGATTAATTACTAAATCTTATCTTTAATACATTCTCATATGAGGATCAACTCTATCAAGTAAGTAATCCATATTTCAATCAATTAGGATATTTCCACCATTTTCCTAATATGTTATCTCCTAATTAATATATTGTGAATATTCTTACCTCATTTCTCCAATGGATGACACACCTTGGCAAATAAAATGCCACCATGTGTAGGGTAGAACTCTAACACCTAGGTTGGCCACCACCTCTTATAAATACCTCTATCTCCGTCAAATTTTGGGAAAACCCTAAACACTCACTCTATTCAGATAAACTAACTTAGGCATCAAATGTTCATTGGCCTAACCTCCGCTTCTCATGAGCAGGGCAGGCTTAGGTCTTTGATCAAATGAGTTGATTGTTTTGTAAGTACTTTTTCGTAAGGCTGAAGATGGCGGAAATTGTCTACCACAACATTCATTTGTAGCAAACAAGATAACGAATAACGTTCTACAAAAATAACTAAACACTTAATCTAATAGTCATATGATTTCAGATTTGGGCGTTTTTAGTAGACATGATTTTTTAGAGAATACCTAAAT